ATGCAGCTCACAGCTAGTTTAGACTGTCCTGTGTTGACATGACTGAGGTTTTAGCAATAACCTTCAGAATGACACAGTAACACCAGGCCCCTGCCAGTGTGGGATTTATACTATCTCCCCCATGGCTGGGGTGGTACAGAACTTGTTACCCTTGAGCCATTCCAAAGATATGAAGAAATTTGTAAATCTCAACTTTTCTTTTTCCCTAACGCTCTTCTAATTCCACAGCTTATTATGGCTGCTTCTCTCATATCACTCAGAGGCCGACCCCAAGGGAAAAGATTTTTACTTCCTATACTTTTCTCCCTTATGGTCTTAAGAAATTTGGAAAGGGGATAAGAAACAAAATAATTATAGAATTTGAATGAGAGGAAGAACCAAATGAAGTCCAGGTCTCTAAAGATAAATGGTAACTCTTCTTTATTCTAATAACAGACCTCTTGGCTAGAGCTGTCAAGTCAGTCAAGGACTCCTGTAGCTTTTTATTTCAACTTAATGGAATGCTGGGTACAAGGATGAGCAGCACAAGGAGAAACTTCCTGTAAAGAGGCTTCTAATCTACACTATGCTATTCAGGAGCCAACTTCTAAGTTTACTCTACTCTTAGCTAACAAAATGAGGCAGGGTCTCCTAATCACACTATCCTTATACAAAGTAAGGAATGAATGCCACTAAAGTGGGATGTGTGAACTCATGGGAGCAGCCTCAAGGGCAGTTCTCAGTGCCTGTAAAACATATTCCTAGTTAGAAGCTTCAGTTTCACCTCTAATTTGAAAAAGAGAGGTGGGAGAGACCAAGTCCATAATTAATTTCTCCCGACAAAAATCAGGGGCAGGGTTTGGAAAAGTGAGAAAGAAAATCTGTGACGCTCTGTTCTTTAACATATACACAGGGCCAACAGCCCAAGATCACGTTTATAATATTGAGGGTTCTTCTCCAACTTACGTTAGAAGTGACTTTATATTAAAGTGGTCATCATAATGAAAAACCAGTAATGTCATGACCAATTCTAAAATTGAAATGGAGTACTTTTTTTATTTCTCCAAAGCCCCTGTTTTTTAATATTCAAGATTCAGTCTGCATGATTTAATAAACTTCTGTATGCAAACAGAATGATTAAAACAATTACACCAGTGTAGGAAACATTAGGTATAACACTTTTTTTTCTCAATTTACCTATGTCATCTCTGGTTAAGGGATGTAGGGTTGCCATCTTTTTATATATTACTAATTCAGGAAGATGGCAAGAACCACCTCACATTCTTTTCTTTTTTTAAACTGGGAATTGAACCCAGAGGCACTAAGTTATATCCCCAGCCCTTTAAAAAAAATATTTCTTAAGACAAGGTCTTGCTAAATTGCTCAGGTTGGCCTTAAACATGTAATCTCCCCTGCTTCAGTCTTCCAAGTGGTTGGGATTATAGACTTGGCTAAAATCACCTCATATTCTTAAAGGTAATGTCAAACTGAAAACTTTTAACCAGACACTATTTCATCTTTAGCATATAGCAAGTAAATAGTATGACTTTTTTCTTAAATAGGAGCCAATATGAAAAATATATATTCTAAAATTATTATGGCAATTAGTGTGTAAAATGGACAAATGTCCTGAGCTCCAAACCTGATCTTTTGAACCTGAAGCAAACATTCTTTCATTTATGATATTAATATGGGAGAACAAATCCTAAATATTCAGCAAAGCTATAGACTAATCACTGAAAAATGTGGAAGAAAAATATTTTACATACACGTTACATATATTTGGAGTGTCATTCTATTATTTTGACAGAAATGGCATAATGCTACCATGTTTCTGACACTGACATTCCTGAGTAGATATTTCTCCTTTCTTTTTATAGTTTTGAGATAAACGTTTTAATACAGACATTCTCCAAATATAACTTATCCAACTGGATCAAAACTGAGCCAAGTCCATGTTATGAATACACACTCAAAACAACCACTAAGCAAACGCTACCCAAGGCTGGAAACACAGCTCTATCGCATGGTCACAGCACCTCCAAGAGACTCCTCCTGCCAGATATACATATATACTGTTCAAAAAGGAATATCCCACAAGAGAGGTCAGCGGTGAACACTAAGTCTACTCAGGGCAAAAGGATGGTCCAAGTGGCTTCTGACAGGTGTCTTAAGATAACCAATTAGGAATGACTTACCTGTGAGGTATCCTGCTGTTTGTGAGTCAGAAATGAACAAATCATGTTTCTGATCTTTGAAGGCACTCCAGACTGAAGAGCGAGACAGGATTTCATTCACCTAGAGAAGTGAAGCAAATACTTTTGACATAAACGAATTAAGAACTACATGTTCAAAGACTGAATTAAAAAAAAAAAAGACTGAATTAAAGAGAAAAATCAACTTCTAAAACAATCAAGAAGGGTAGTGAATCAAAGATGGAGCAAGAACAAGCATTCATGAAACACTTTATACCAGACACTGGCTGGGTACATCTCATTAACCAGATTCAAAGTGCCTGAATTGGCTCTTTTACAGCTGGAGTCTTCATATTTGAACCTGAAATTTACTGACTTCTATATAATTTAGGCAGGAAGGTTCCTAAAAAAGTATTTTCTTATGATGGTAACAGATGACAGACAGTATGGTATGGGCTGATGAACTTTTCCTGAGGAAGGGTTTGAGGAGAGCATTCTGCAAATTGGAGCTAAAACTTTAAAGCAGTCTTTTAAATTATGGGTTGTGACCTGTTGGGGGATAATGAAATCCATTAAAAGGGGAATAAACAGCATACTTGAGAAAATAGGTGAATACAGAGAAATATAAGAGTATCATGAATAAATGGGTATATATATATTTCTGGACTAAGATAAAAGATATTTTTTTGCGACAAGTAAAAAATATTTAGGAAATACCTACTTAGAAGTCTTTTCCACATAAGTAGTGGAAATATAAATATAATACCTCTTATGTGGTACGAACAGTGAACACAATGAGCAAGACAGCCTCTGTCTCTGAAGTCAGATAGAAAGCTCACAGTCTAGTAGTGGGTACAGACAGTGCCAGATAGTTTAGCAATATGAATTAAAGTAGTTATGTACATGGTGACCATGTGAGTCCAAGAGAGGACACCAGTCCAACCTTGGAAAGAAGCAAAAGAGGAAGCAATTAGCTATGAAGGTGAGAGAGGAGCTCCTATTTTGGACAGTAACATAACTTCACCTCCGCTCCCATGGAAGTAGACAGTGGGAATTGACAATTCCTAAAATCCAAAAAAATTTTAACCAATACTAAATGCTGAATATTCTTCACATTTTTCTTCCGAAAACACACCATTGCTATGCAGAAAAGGAATGCTCCTGAGTGACTGCTGAGTGTATGGTTTATGCTTTTTCATTGTTTATGAGGCAGTTATGGAAGCCCATCATTGGTCTTTGGCTCTTTTGCAGTTGCAGACATGAGTGATGTGAACACAGGTGTGCAGGTTACCCACAGCCAAGACCCTGGCTTTGAGAATACCTTGTTGTGATCAGCAGATCACACTGCTGCTTGTAGACTCACCTGTTCTCCATACTGCAGGCTTCGAGTCATCGCTTTGAGTGCTTTAACAATCTGGGCCTTGGTGGCAGCGGGGCTGTCCAAATTTTCAAGTCCTATGCCTTCGAGTAATTTTAAGAGGTATGGGACCAAATCTGCTTTCAGGGCCTAGAAGGCATATGAAGCATCTATAACCATACTGGAAAACATAAATCAGCAACCTGTTTTCACAGTGTTTTAATACCAGATACAGTTTCTTGTTTTAGTAGCTAATAACATTCTTATTTAATAAGATTTTATTCTATTGTCAACTGTTCTAAATGCTATACATCAATTATTTAATCTTCCTAACATCTAATGAATTAGGTGCTATTATTATTACAAATGGAAAAAATCAATGCACAGAAGGTAAAAAAGCATGTTCATAATCAAAGAACTGGGCAGTAATGAAATCTGCATTTGGACCCAAGAAGCAAAGAACTTGAGCTTTTAGCCACTAGGGAGCCTGCTTTAATAATACTACACTAATGGGCAACAATCTCTGAAATGCCTTAATATTTTCCCATATTATCTTAAAACATCAATCTTTACAATCACCAGTTCCTATCAGTCTAATAAAAGCTAAATAATAATGTGGTATCAGAAGCTGGGGTTGTACCTCAGTGGTACAGCACTTGACTAGCATGCATGAGACACTGGGTTCAATCCTCAGCACCACATGAAAACAAATAAAATAAAGGTATTGTGTTCATTTATAACTAAAAATATTCTTAAAATTAAAAAAAATAATAATATGGTATCAATCTTCATTAAAAATCAAAAGGAAGAGGTGGAAATAACTGACATTTAGTGAGTGCACCTCTTTTTTTCATAACTTGTGAGGCAGTCATAAATTTATAACTTTATTTCAGATGAGAAATCCGACTGTAAGGTTAAAAATCATACCTAAGGTCATAGAGCCATCAAGTGGTAGAACTAGCTCATGTTTTTCCTCATCTGGTAAACTCCTGAGCCAACACTAAGTTTGAACTTCATAGCATTCACTATCTCCTTCAGATCTACCCAGTATCTTGACCAGCCTAAAGGGTGGGTCTGAATTGAGGTTGTGGGGTGGAGATAGATACAGCAAGAAAGGGGACCAGGAGAACAGGAGGTCACTATCTTCAGACTAAGAATGCCAGATGTCACTTTGTCATGGGAAACCACTGAAGATTTTTAAAGATGAACAGTGACAGCTGGGAGTGGTGGCTAATTCCAGCAGCTTGGGAGGTTGAGGCAGGAGGATCACAAATTCAAAGCCTGCCTCAGCTACTCAGTAAGGACCAAAGCAACTTAATGAGACTGTGTTGCTAAATAAAAATTATTATTAAAAGGGCTGGGGATGTAGCTCAGTGGTTTAAGCACCCCCTGGTACCAGAAAAAAAAAAAAAAAGGAGGGGGGTGCAGAATAAAAAGATAAAAGAGTAGCTTCTTTTAAGCCGGAACCACCATCTTCCAGTAATTCTCCAAAATGATGAACACAAAGGGAAAGAGGAGAGGAACCCGATATATGTTCTCTAGGCCTTTTAGAAAACATGGAGTTGTTCCTTTGGCCACGTGTACACGAATCTACAAGAAGGGTGATATTGTAGACATCAAGGGAATGGGTACTGTTCAAAAAGGAATGTCCCACAAATGTTATCATGGCAACACTGGGAGAGTCTACAATGTTACAGAGCATGCTGTTGGCATTGTTGTGAATAAACAAGGGCAAGATTCTTGCCAAGAGAATTAATGTGCGTATTGACCATATTAAGCACTCTAAGAGCCGAGACAGCTTCCTGAATCATGTGAAGGAAAAAGATCTGAAAAAGAAGGAAGCCAAAGAGAAAAATACCTGAGTTCAGCTGAAGCGCCAGCCTGCCCCACACAAAGAAGCACATTTTGTGAGAATAAATGGAAAGGAGCCTGAACTGCTGGAACCTATTCCCTATGAATTCATGGCATAACAAATGTAAAATAAATAAATAAATAAATAAAGGCCCGTGGACTATTAAAAAAAAGAGTGACTGAGTTATATTTTATTACTTTTTAATTTTTGTTATATGTATTTATGGGATACAAAGTGATGTTATGATATATGTATACAATTTGGATTGTGTAATCAGCATATCTGTTGCTTCAAAAATTTATTTCTTATGGTGAGAACAATTTACTCTTAGGAATTTTGAAAAATACATTAAACTATAGTCACAATTCTGTGCAATAGAGCTTTAAGTTATTACTCCTAACTGAAACTTTATACCATTAACATATCCCCATTCTTCCCACCCTCCAGCTTCTGGTAACTACCATTCTGTGCTCTCCTTCCATGAATTTGATTGTTTTAGATTCCATTCATTGGTGAAATTATGCAGTACGTGTTCTTAAGAGCTATATTTAAAAAAAAAAAAAGCTATACTCCATTCACAATATCCCCAAAGAAAATAAGATACTTGGGAATCAACCTAACAAAAGAGGTGAAAGATTTATACAATGAAAACTACAGAACCCTAAAGAGAGAGATAGAAGAAGATCTCAGAAGATGGAAAAATGTACCCTGTTCATGGCTAGGCAGAACTAACATCATCAAAATGGCGATATTACCCAAAGTTCTCTACAGGTTTAATGCGATGCCAATCAAAATCCCAACGGCATTTCTTGAAGAAATAGATAAAGCAATC